TCCAAGCATTATATACATGTGGATCTGCTGATGGATATAACCAATTATTATTTTAGAGGGCCCGTTGGCAACTACCTAAAAAGTTCATCATGCTTCTCTGTGAGAATCATAATTGGATATCTGTGAATAGTAGAAGTGTGAATTGCAATCCTCACATCTGATACATGTTAAAAATTAGACTCATTCATTTTGGGGATGTGCTGAAAAAAGGATCACTCCCATGCATGTCAAAGGGCTCCATCTCTGGAACATTGGATTCGAAAATTCTCATCTGCTCGCTTCCTTATGGATGAAAGCTACAACTATGTGGGCACCTCATCATTTCTGCTGATGGCAATCACTAGAATGAGAGTCATTCCTTGCTTCTGGAATTGATTATAATTGAGACTGGGTCTCCCTGCAGAGAGGACATGGAAGCTTTAGGTTTATGGATGGGTTAGAAGTAAGATACGGATGTCTCCTATGTTATCAGCCATTCCTTGCTGAATATATGTAATACATCTTGTCATCTCTCGGTGCTCTGGACACAAATGTCTCTCTCCGTGCTTATTCTTAAGTCTGATTCCTCCTGTGGGGCATGGGCACTCTGAAGTCTCATAGTTTTGAGCAGTATTTATCAACCTTGTATTCATTATCATCATTGAACCACCCAACTGCCTTCCCCATGAAAATGTACTAGCATCAACATACTGTAGATGGATGTACATAACAAGAGCAAGATATTTCTTCCCTCCCCCACTCCAAAAACCAGTTTGCACCAGCTTCGGAAGCTGTAAAGCCCCTGTTTAGAATGCAAAACCCAGAAAATAAAGTTTCAAACTTCCTGGGATTTTAGAAGGTCCCACACATTTCTCCAACCTTATTGCTTGCTTTCTTTATAATCCATGCTGCTGGCCCAACAGGGCGTTGAGTTCCCACTTGCCCCCGTGTTTCTACTTCTGTTCATGCCCTTTCCCAGTACCTCTGCACCTCTGGAAACCATAAGCTGTCCCTTTTATGACTCTTCAGTGGAAGTTCATCCCCTTCCAGGCTAAGCTCTTCCTAATGTTATTTGGTAAATTCAATGGTGAACATTTAAAGTCATTTTTCTTGCATGCTTGTTGCTCAGAACTAACTAGATTGAAATCACCCACAGGGTGATATATCTTTTTATTCTTCCTTTCCCATAGCTTTTCTATTGTATCCTTACCATTTTCAGCCTATATTGGTTCCCTAATAAAGGCCAGTTAAGCAATAAATACTCACTGGACACCTATGTCCCGGGCCCTGTTCTAGGTGCTAAGGAGGCAATGGTGATGAAATGTGAATATGGAAAAATCACATTTTCTAGAAGGTTAGTGTTGAAAAAGTCTTGGGTATTCAAAGGCTCTGGTTTTCAAAGGAAGATACTGAGGCACAGCAAGGTCTGATGACTTGCCCAAGGTGACCCAGCACTTTGCTGGCAGAGTTGGGAATCTGACTGTGTGCCTACAGCTTATCTGCTTCAAAGCAGGCCATCTACACATTGCTAAGGTGTCTTTGGTCCGACAGTTTATTATTCATTAAGATACCGCCATCTTTAACAATCTGGAAGATGATACTATTTTAAAAATGATTCCTGTATATATACTTCAGGCAGAGAGAGGGAAAATGCATTTTGAGAAATCCAGATTTTCCGTGTATATACAGCAAGAAGCAGGGTTCAGCTATCCCACTGAGTGATCTCCACCTGGAGCAGGAACCATGACACCAGATTCTTTGTGCCTGCAGGTGTTCACCTGGAGATCCAGAGTGGATCTGCCAAGGTAGTATGGAGAAGGTACTAGGCTTGGCAAGCTTTGGATTAGACACTTTCTAAGTTTTCTTCCGTGATGACTTGACTAATAGCGAACCAACTCTAAAGAGCTGGTGGAAATGTTGTCCATCTGCTAGTTAGAACCAAAAGCTGATACTCAGGGCTGCCGGAGAGATGTGCCCACCTGCCCCGCTTGGGTGGTGGCCCGGTGACATTTCCAGGAGAGGGGTCAGGGCTCCAGCTCAAGCCTGGCCTGGGGAGGCTGTCTGTCTGCAGCTGTGGTGAGCAGCTGAGTGCTCTGCCGAAGCAGAGAGGTCCTAACCGTGATGCTCTCTGGCTTGATGGGAACAGTGATGAGCCTCCCTTCGCTCTCCGGACTGAGCCTTTTGTCCTTCCTGCCGAATCACTTTACCAAACCCTCATGATGATGATACCTCTATTTTCTTTTCTGTGGCCATATTGCAAATTAAGAAAACCTGAAGAATATTTAAAACCTGTTTTTAGCAAGCTTGTCACAGTGCTGTTTTTCTTTAACATTTGAACACCAATTCTCAGGAAGGAAGCTTTTATAGTGTATTTTGCAGTCATTTAACCTATGATCAAATACCTATATCTATGACTTTTGAAAAGTGGGAGAACAGAACTGAGTATAACAAATGTTTGAAAGAAAGGCTGTGGTGTGTGTGTGTGTGTGTGTGTGTGTGTGTGTGCATATTGGGGGATCATGTGCCAAACTTCGAAAAGATTGAGGAAACCGAGTCTACTTATATATGTCAGTTTCTTGTTTTGAGTAAGTTTGATGAAAAACATTCCCCAAAATCATCTCTTACTTAGAAAATCACCCACAAAGAAAAATGAATCTCTGCTTCTTCATCAACCCTCTAGCTCAACGGTCGGCAAACTCATTAGTCAACAGAGCCAAATATCAACGGGACAATGATTGAAATTTCTTTTGAGAGCCCAATTTTTTAAACTCAAACTTCTTTTAACACCACTTCTTCAAAATAGACTCACCCAGGCCGTGGTATTTTGTGGAAGAGCCATACTCAAGGATCAAAGAGCCCCATGTAGCTCACAAGCCGAGGTTTGCCAACCATTGCCCTGGCTGGTCAGATAAATGTATGTTCTTACTTTGTTTCTCTTCACATGGAAGGCAGTACAGAGAGACTCATTCCTTTCAATAGGTAAGAATGTCCCCAAGATCCTTCCCTTTTGTTTCTTGCTGACCATTCTGCAAATCTGTCCCATAGTATCCATACTTTGTATTCAAATCCTCTAATACAATATGTGGTTTCCGTGAATTTTAATTAAACTATGTTTTAGTTGGCACTTTCAAATATATCTACATGCTCTGAAGGGCATAATCCTACTTAGCATGAATTGGATAAACCACAATCATGTTAAAAGCTACATAAAAATACATAAACATAAAAGATTCTCAGGTTATTATTTATGACTATTAGTCCTTCGCTAATTTTCAGACCTTTAAATTATGGATCCATGAGTTCAAATTTTATTTTGTTAATCACTGTGTCGTAAATTCCCAACAAAATATTCCACAGGAAGACCTCCAACTGTGAAAATCAGTTTGATTCTGTCTTTACTTCTGACAATATTAAGAATAGTCAACATTTTAAAAAAGAATTAGCAGCAATTTGCTTGGTGTCTGAAGAACTGAACAGATTATAAAATGGCTTTAGTGACCTTGTCATAGAACTTCAAATATTCTTGGACACCAAGTATGGACATTTTTAAAAATCAGTTTTTCATACGAGAAAACAATTTCATTGCCTTTGTTAGCCTTCTGGCTAGTGAGTGGAGGCTGAGGCCCTTGTTCTAGGGCCTTATAAGAAGCAGTACAGGATGCCAATCATTTCTTCCCATGTGTGTCCATAGTAGTAGCTTCCACATCTAAACCCAAATGAGTAATCACTATTTCAATACCATAGCTATTTTCAAAATGTGAATATTACCCACTTTAGCCTTTTCCCTCTCAACAGTTCTTTAAGCACAACTGTAGGAATTACAGTGAGCATTAAAAAAAAAATAGAGTTCCTTGTTAATCAAGGGTCCCAGTTTTAGTCTCATGAGTAAAAAGTCACAGGGCCATAGGAAGAGACTGTTGTGAAATTGAGAATAACAAGCTCAAGTTCAGATTTCTTGGTATGTGTTTGCAAATAAAGAGCTACTGCCTATAAAGCTGCTCGGAGTAGGGTAGGTTTAGACACTTCCTCCCCAGCTCTGACGTGGCAGGAGGGCTGAGAAAACTATTTTGCATTAATTTCTCTGGGAGACCCTCTATCCCCAGAAAGCAAGAGTCTGAGGTTGCCCTCCGGCATCTGGAGTCTGGCCCTCCTCCTTGCCTGGGAGTGGAGATGGCAGTGAATCCGCTAGACATTTCAAGTAGATTCCCCAGGTAATGTGGACATGCTAAATCCAGTCCACAGGATTTCCTGGAACTTGTCCTTTAGATTGATATCCCATTGCAAAACATGGGTACTGTGTGGTCAAATAACCTTGGGTTAAGCAGAGTTAAGCAAGGCTCTGTATTACTATGTTAGAGTTTTGGAATACACTGACTGGTGCTTTTGTGGCTCCCCAGGAGACAAGGGTGTGGAGTGCATAGAGGATTCTAACCCCATTTGTCCACAGAGTCCTTTTCTTGAGGTAAATCTCAAAGGCTTAGGCCAGAGATTTGGCCTACAGGTCAGTCTCCTGCTTTGGCAAATTGAGTTTCATGGGAACACACTTTTATTCCTCTACCAATTGCCTATAGCTGCTTTGGCTCTATAATAGCAAAATGGAGTTGTGACAATGATCATGTACCTTGGAAAGCCAAAAGATTTATCACATGGCCTTTCAAGGAAAAAGTTTGCTGACCCTTTGTCTGGACCCTGTGGAATACACTTTGGGAAACATTAATTCCTAGGGAAAACATCATTGGAATAAGATACACAGTATAAATACCACAACCAGGGTTCTATCCCTTATTCCTAATTTATCCTGTGGAATAAAACAAAGATTTAATTTCATAAAACATTCATCAATCTCTTTCCCACTGCTCCTTTGGCCAAGGAGACTATACGCATCTGAGTCAGAAACATAGTCAGTGTTTGCTCTCCTTCATGCTAGCACTGAAAACCATAAGACACCATTAATCCACTTCTGTTTGACTCTCCAGCCATTTGCACCCAAACTCCGATGGTATCAAAAGAGGTTTCCTTACTTGACTGGTTCCCATGACTCCCGCTCAAAGCCCCTGTGAATGGATTGTGCAATTGAGGACTCCATCAAATCCACATATCTAACCACAAGTGGGGCAAACAGGTCTTGCAGGTGTTTGTGGAATTTTCCATTGCACAAATTATCTAGAACAGAGAAGCAGAGTCTTGGTAAGGGCCCACAGTTGCTTTGTCAGCATACAACATACACACAGAGAGGACTGTCTTCGACATTAAGCCTATGGCTTCTAAGAGAGTTCCCCCCCACCCCCCCGCAAAAAAAAAAAAAAGAGAGAGAGAAAGAAAAAAGTTCAGGAACAGCATCAAAGTTCATGCTTCAATCTGTGTGGGAAGAAAATGGAATTCTAAAACATTTAATCCATTTGCATCCCTCTTGTCAAAAAGAAAAACAATCATGTCCCTTTAAAAGCAACAAAACAGCAACCCACCCTCTTCTGGGATTCCTTGCACTCACTCTCTTCCTCCCACACTGTTACCAGGAGGAGAGACCCTGCTACCCTTCCTTCATCACGCTCCCTGAGCAGGAAGATTCACATTATGGCTCTGTGTTGTGTAAGAAACTCTAAGATGCTTAGGGTGTTGCTTAAATGGACTTTTTTTTTTTTCATCTAAAAAGCAACTTTGGATAAAAATTGGAAAAAGGAAGAGGTTAAATAGCTTGTTCCAGAACAAAAGAACCCCGAGGACACCACTCCTGACACTGCTCTGGGGGTCTTCTGCTTAGGTAAGAGAGGGCTTCTCTGTCACAGAGCATTCCTTGGAAGAAAGTCGATCACCCGTAGGTTTCTTTGTTTTTGAATTAATAATAAAACCACAAAGAGCTAGGTCCAACCTATATCCTGTCTGGCATACACACATTTTAACAAGGCGCTCATCCGCACCCGCCGTGGTCAGGCCCAACAGTGGAAGGTGATACGTACAGTCGGTGCGCAGGAAGTCATTCAGCAGCTGAAACAGTGGGAAGCTGTCCCACGTGTCCGGGGGCTGCACCTCCAAGGCTGCATCCATGTCCACCGCGAAGAGCGACAAGAACGTCTCGGCATGCTCCACCATCAAGTCCGACCACCACGCAAAGGCCTTTGAAATTTGGCAGAAAAACAACAGACAGAAAGGCAGTGAGCTTCTCACTCCCCAACAGGAGGTGGGAAGTGCAGCCCTCGCTGGCCAAGGTTCAGTGTGCATCGGCAGGGCTTGGTAGTTTTATTGTAAAGAGAACAGCATTTTTGATGCAGCCGGGCCTCTGAAGCATCCCAAGGCCATGCTTTTCAGGATTCCAGTCCTGCCTTCGAGAGCCCACTGGTCAGAGGACTCAGCTGTAGCCGTGACAGACGTGGAATTTCTGTTCAGTTTACAATAACTCGGTATGTTTTGGGTCATGCTCTTTATCAGTGTTGTTGGCTGGTTCTTGCTCTGAGGTATTAGAATTTGGGAGTTTCTTCACTGTGTTTATGGGTTTTCTGCTGGTCTAACTTGAAAATTTGCAATGAGTGTTCACTTAGATCTACACGTGTGGGGCTTAATTGTCTACAGTCTCATACAAGGTTGATTGACTCATATTTCTCCACGCATGGGCAATGTTACTCCTCTTTCATACCAAGGCAAAGGAAACCATTGTTGCAATTATCACAGAAAGTTTGAGTCAGAAATCTTTCTAAGTGGGGAGCCTCTGGTTTTGTATTCTGTCTGTAGGGAAGATCAGGCTTACTCTGGGGACCAGGAAGGTGAAGACTCACTTTTCTACTTTTCAGGGGAGTGGTGTGGAGTGGGGTTGGACACATATGTACATTGAAAACCAAAAAATATCAGTGAAGTAACTCATTTTCATGCACGTGGGTCCTTGGAAATCATTGTGCAGGGTCTCCGGGCGACATTCACATCAGACTGGGCCAGATGTGAATGCAATTCAAAGGCACGCATGCATGTTGACTAATCATTTCTGGCAGGGAGCATGCAGAATGAGTGGCGGTCACAGGCCCTTTTTTTTTTTTTTTTTTTTTTTTCTGATTTCAAAGACAGCAAGAAAACAAAAACATCGCCAGCCTCCTCTTGTCCCCCACCTCCCCACCCAGTGCCATAAAGTATTTACATGAGAAACACTTTCAGGAGCATTCACCGAAAAAAAGATGGAAGGCGTTTGTAAACATGAATGATGATTATGGAAATAATTCCATAAATGAAAGTGTTTGTTCAATAGCCAAGCTTTTCTGTCATCTATTGTTATTCGGGGATATTCTAACAGCCACTAGGAGGCAGACTTAGCGGTCCGCCTCTCCTTTCATGGGATTTCATTTTACTTACTTCTCCTTTATCAACATGTGGCTGGTTTGCAAATTAAATGGAAAAAATCAAGTCATGGACCATTCTTCAAGGTCAGCTTGGCTGGAAATAGACACCTGCTGTTTCCATTTTAATTTACAGTAAAACCTCACTGATTCAGAGTAATGGCCGTGGAGAAGGGCTAGGCAGTCAGCATAAAAGCCTACATTACTGGGCCTCCTAAAAGTAGGTTGTTGCTGTTTTCAAATGCAGTCTGAGCACCAAAGTAGAAGGTACTCACTGGGAGTTATATGAATGCATCATACATGGAAAAGTGTTTTCCCCTCCAAATTTCTAATAATCATAATAGATAAATTGACATATAAATGGAAGTCAAAGACACAAAGGTTTAATTTGGCAGGTCCCGAGGTGAAACTTGTAAGAAGAGCCTTTAGAATTTCCAGGGAAAGTTGAGATTATGTTACACATTTTACTTAAGAAAAATTAAAAGAGACACACCTGCCATGGGATTGTCACCAAGTTCAAGTGTGTGGGTCTGAATCAAGGAGGTTTTATTGTAGGTTTACCACCTGGAGATGAGAGCCCTGAGGTGTGGGGCTTGCTCACTGACTACCTGGCGGGATCCAGTGGAGACAGGATGCCTCCACCCACCCTGAGCTCTCCCAGCCAGCAGCCTTTCAGGCAGAGACCCTCTACATGTCGGAATTTGCTGGGGCCCCACCCCCACCCTAACTGGAGGGCTGGCTGTCATCAGTCCTGATTCAGGATATTCACAGAATTCACGAAGGCACATGGAAATCTTAGCTGGTACTTATTCTACTTATTCTTTAGTTATTTGATAATAACAGTTACTGGAGAGACTGAGTTGCTTTCTCCCCTTTCCTCCCCCCCCCCCCCCCCTGGGATGACAGGACAAAACACCAGTCCTAGATGCCTGAAATTAACAATTGCTTAGCCTAACCTTGAATCTGTTTCTTACTATCTTTATTTAAAAGTTGCAAACCAGAGACCATAACCAGCACCTCCTTTACTACCTTTGGAGAACTAGGCCCATCCTTGGAATTTAGTAAACGACTGAGCGATTTGCTGCAGTTGTGGTGTGAATAATCATAGATAGGTAGCTCTGGGAAGAACAATGAATGGCTGCTGTGATAGGAACGCTTGCTTCTGAATTCTGACGGAGGGACTGAGGCTTCTAGGGAACAGAGAGAATTGTAATGTACGGCTGCAAGGGGAGGAAGACAGAGCTGTTTCTGGGCTCTCAAGGGGATTCTTCCAGAACCTCATCCTTGAACCCACCTCCTGGCAAGGGCAGGAATGATAAAAAATGAACAGAGTCTGTGTGACTGGATTGGACAAGGCAAGTCGTCAAAATTAAAAACCCAAACAATATCTATTGGTTTTGTTTGCTCAGACGGGTGGACGCTATTTTTGTACAAGAGCTAGCTCAACATCTGTAGGCATTGAAAGTCTTTATAAATCTTTTCCAAAGGAAATAACAAGTTATACTTCAGATTCTAAATACTTACCTAGTGCTTTTCATTATTTAAAGGCAAAGGTGTATGCTTTAGGGGTACAGTCAACCACACTGAACACACTGTATTTTTGTACACAAATTCCATATATGTATGTATCCCTCTGTGTACTACCAAAATACATATATACATATACATACATATACATAGAGAGAGAGGTTGAAGCAACAATACATGAAAGTGTAGTGTGTGTGTGTGTGTCTGTGTGTGTATGAGTGTGTGTGTGTGTGTGTGTGTGTATGAATAACTTAGGCTCTGAGAGCAGAATTATGCTGCAGGTAAGAGATGAACATGACACTGCGACCATATACTATACATGTGTGTGTATGTGATGTGGTTGTAGTCATGGAAAGTTTTTTCTCTTGGGGCATTTAATTACTTTATATTTGAATTTAAAATAGCCTTAAGGATTATTGTTTATTGTTTTTTGGGATCAAACATCGTGGCTGCCCAGCCAAGATCCGTGCTTAGGATTTAGTAATTTGCTAGTTTATTGAGCACCCAGAGAATGTGGCAGTGAGTACAGGCAGCAGAAAAAATGTTCATACTTCAGCCTTGTCTTTAGCGTGCCAGGGCAAATCCTACCTATAGCTGCACCCCTGGCTCTTGACCAAGCTACATACTGTAATCAGCCAGGCAGTTTAACAATGACCAACACTTGGTCCCTCCCATGAGATTCCAACAAATTGATCACAATCTGCCAGTGAACCTTGAGGACAGGTGCTGGGACAACTCCACCTTGAAACAAACCCACTCACCTTTCAACATATTCTGTCTATAGCATTTGGTGCTCTCCACCTTGGTTTGTACTATTTATGGTCCTTTTTGAACTGTTTGCTTCCATACCAATTTGTTCCTCATCACACAACAGTAGAGTTTTGTTGAGCGCTTACTATGTACCAGGCTTACTACCAGATGCTTTGCTGAATGCAGCCTTCCATCCTCACAACAGCCACATGAGCTAGATTTTACACCGAGTGGCCAGGTTATTATGATTTCTGAACGCATAATAATCTGTCCACTCAGTGTATAGTTATCTCCAACTTACAGGACAAGAGAGGTTAAGTAACCAAGCCACAATCACAGAACAAGGAAGTGGCATAGCTGAGACTGAAATGCCAGCATCTCTGGCACAGAGCCTGTGCTCCTGGCCGCTCTGCCTTCTCTGCTCGAAGGCAAGACTGCCCCTGTCTCTGTGTCCTTCACAGAAGCTCAGAGGCCATCGCCTCAGTGCTCACCACATAGGTAGCTTTTGATCGACTGAGTGAGGACGTTTTGTATTTGGGTGAAATGACTAATTCAGGAAATAATCCTGTACTTTTATCTAAAAACCAACTAGGTCTCCAAATTCCAAAGCACGCTGAAGCTTTCACTCCTAACTTCTAAAGCTAGTCAATGGAAACAGAACTGAACTGATGTTTACCCTGGCTGGCTTTGGAACATGTAAGGATAAAATATTTTTGTAAGCATGGCTACTAGGGCAGTTTCAGATGATGATTAGCCCTTGGTGAAAAAGTATTTGGGGAAAAGTGGAAAAGAAAACTGTCTTTTTTTGGACTATCAACATGCCCTGGGTACCTCTTTTGAGTAATTTGGGAAAATAGCTGTCCTTTCTTAGCCTGTAGCAGCCTCAAAAATAGCTTGTTTAGAAATCAAGGACACCCGCCATTTTCCTTCTTTCATTTAATTAAAAGCACAGCGGTGACTGAGGAAGACATCTGTGCGCATGTCTTCAAACATGATGATTTGGTTTGTTATCAGAAGAGGGCAGTCCCGAGCCCACCATTCCTCTGGAGTTTACCTTTGTGGAGCCCCAGAAAGAACATGTCAATACTTACCATTACCTGAACCCCAAATGCCCCCAACCTGGAAAGAACCGATATCAGATGGGATAGAGTAGGAAACAGTTCGAACCCAACTCAATTTGATGTGTCTGGAGGTTAGCCCTTGGCCTCTGGAGGCACTGGCTTGGCCCCTCTCCCGGCTCCCAGCTGTGCATTGCTGAGGCAGCGGGAGTTAGTTACACCCATCCTGAGGGGTCCTCACCCCATTCCTGGGTGGGTTCCATAAAAGCACCGATTTTGTGGCACTCTCTCTGTATATAAATGCTGTATATGCGGTTCACATACAGACAGTCACAGAGGGAGATTAGTATCACTCTGGGCAGCTACTGGTCACCACACTCGGTGATGCATCTGCGGTCAGTACAGACGGACAGAGGGACTGGGACAGGCTGAGGACAGAGTCACGGCAGGAAGGAGGCACGTGTCGGGATGTAACTGCAGTCGTGTCAGGTGTATCAACTGCTTCATGCACGCGCGAGAGGACCCCCCTCCCCCACATTGCCCCCACTGTGGAGGGCCCCCATGTCACAAGCAGCCCCTGCAAGTTGCTGTTACATTCCTGGGGTCGGTGTTAGGAAGCAGGAGCCCCGGGAAAGTCCCATCGGGAGACAGGGCACCAGAAGGGCATGCACAGACTAGGACAGAAGGTGGCTGGCTCATTCGGTGTCGGCACATACCTCTTTCCCCTGCCACGATCGGCCACGAGTGAGTGGAACAGTAGAAAAACAGGGAGGAAATTTAAATATGCAAATCAGGCATTATTCGGGATGACTGGGTTTATGGGTATTAGGTATTAGTTAACTGTAGTGTCAATTTCAGTTAGTCGCAGGAAGGACCATGTTAGGTGCTTGAGGAATTACGCTTATGGATTGCCTTTGCTTCCCCTTCTGCTGGAGAGTTGAATGGAGAGGAAGAGTGAGAGTTAGTGTGGTTTTTAGAACGAGCTATGACCCGAAGCCTCAGGGTGGAAGGAGGCGGTGTTTTCCCAGTGGGAGCCCAATGGAACCTTGGGGTCTTTCTTGGAGGACTAGATTATTTAAGTCCTTACAGGTTTGGGGCTTAGTTAGCCTTGAAATCCCTTGGTTTATCTTATTATCACCGAAAGCACAGTGGTCTGAAAGAGAAAGGAAGCTGTATCTATTTAGATGGAGGTTGGAGAACCGACAAGTGGGACAACACAGAGTAATAATTCACTCTGACTCTGCATGTGGCCACAAGGTCACCTGAGGTTAACAAATGAAGCTAAATCCAACCACGTGGCCTGCGATCCACACACCAAATAAAAGAAATAAAAGCAACAGTGGTGGCAACAACAACAACTACGAAAGACCAGAAAGCATTTTGCGTGCTCCGGACAAGATCCATATGCTGCTCGTGTTGTAGTTTGAAATACACTCACCTCTTTGGCTTGTGGCTGGAAACATCTGAAAACTTAAACCGAAACGGACAACACGCAATCCCTTTTGGGTTATATTCAGCAGCCTTCCCCAGGCCACTCCTCACCCACCGTCCACTTGCACTGTCTTGGCAAGGCCAGTGGAAAGCAAAGGGGGTGAAGGCCCCTCATTCCCGAGGTCACCTGCCCCCTCCGATCCGCAGCCGCAGCCGAGGGACCCGGACCATTCCCCTCGCGCCGCTCACCTCTGCGTGATGCTCCTCATTCTGCTGGAGAACCTCAATGACTAGTTCAGCCAGGCGGATTGTGTCTTCGAGCTTTTTGGCGGGGGTGATTAACCGGCCTACATTTTCTGAAGCACAAGAATCTGTGTTAAAATGCGGCGAGAGCATCGGGCTGGCTTTGTGGCCGTTAGTACGAGTGGATGAGAAATTCTGAATAGTCACCAATGTTTTAAAAAAAAGGGTCATGCAAATGTTAGGAGCCACAAGATTAGTAGTGAGCAAACCAGAAAGCCATATTATTGTTATCATCACCGCCATAATCATCACCATCATCATCATCATCATAGATATTAAGGGAAAGCAGTGCTCCAGCTTCAAAGTGGCATGGTAAGCTACATTTTCTTTGACAGCCCATTTCAAATTGAGTGACGTTTTGTACACGTGTTCTTTAAAGACAGCATAGTGTTCTATCTGATAGCACTGTCTACTGTGCTGTGCTACACAGGGAGGGGCGATGCTATAGGAACTTGATCTTGATTGCTGCTACATTTGTTGCCTGGATTTGTCCTTAAATATTCAATACTACAGAATCTTTTTCATTATAAGTCTGCAAGTTTAACAGGTACTGGAATGTTCGTGGTTTTTTATTTTTATTTTTATTTAAAAAGCAGAGCCATGCCATAACCAGTTTGGCTCAGTGGATAGAGCATCGGTCTGTGGATTGAAGTGTCCCAGGTTAAATTCTGGTCAAGGGCATGCACATTGGTTGCAGGCACATCCCAGTTAGAGGGTGTACAGGAGGCAGCTGGTCGATGTATATCTCGCATCGATGTTTCTAGCTCTCTATTCCTCTCCCTTCCTCTCTGTAAAAAAATCAATAAAATATATTTAAAAAAATTAAAAAAAATAAATTAGAGCTACAGATCTTGCTGTTTTAAGTTGTCCAGGGAGGAGACTGTAACTTTTGGAACATTCCTGGGCCATTAGGTAGAAGGACGGATCAAATTGTTGAAGGGGTGCTGGGGGTAGATTATTGGCTGAAGTAGTGGTCACTGAAATCTTACAGGGTTGGTGGCAACAATGCACCCAAGGTTTTCTTGATTTTTTAGTGTTTTTTGTTTTTTTTTGTATGGAAAGGGTTCTTTTTAGCTGACTCAAGCACAAACCAAACTCTGGTTTCTGTTGCACCCTTTAGAGACCTGAATTCATGAATGTTTATCAGTCATCATGTTATGTAAACTTACAAATGTTTTTTTTCCTGGCAGGAAAAAAAGTGATATTTAACATATAAAGGATTTTCTTAGCCAATGAAATTGCCTGGATTCAAACAGTCTGAACTCACAGGGATCTTGTATTTCATGCTTAGGCCTCTTCAAACCTTGATGCCTCAGTCAGTTGTAGCTCTGGGGTATAATGGCAATAAGGATCCCTTAGCCCAATTCCACAGGTAGGTACGTATGTGCCAAAAAGGACTGCCGAAACTTATTTCCTCTCTTCATCAAAGCAGATGTGGTTTGGCTTCAGGATTTTCCTTGTTAGATAAGATTACTGAATGCTTCACAGGAAGGTTTGTTATTTTGTTTTGTTTTGTTTATGGGAGGGGTGGTGTTTAAATAAAATCATGGTCCCTGGCCTGGGTTTCTAAGTGGTTAGAGCACTGGTCCACAAACCGAGGGTCTCTGGTTCCATTCCCCATCAAGGGTACATAAAATCCCTGACCTGGTAGGGCGTGTACAGGAGGCAACCAATCCATGTTTCGCTCTCACATCTATGTTTCTCTCGCTCCCCATTCCCTCCCTTCAACTCTCTTAAAAAAAAAAAAAATCAATGGGAAAAATATTCTCAGGCGAGGATTAACAACAAAAAAAAAATCGTAGGAAGTTGGTCTCAACTTTACAAAAAAGTGCCCCATAATTTTCTCTTTGTGCATTTGTTAGATAGGTGGTGACTATATCAGGTGATCAGTAATTTAAGATTAACAAAGGAAAAACAAGTTCAGTGAAACACTATGCAAAAGGAATGTCCCTGCCCCTCTGGGAGCTAGGAGTGGTGGCTGGGCTGGTAAGATTATTGAGGGAACTTGGCCAAACAGGCCTGGTGACTAGTGTGAAAATGGGCTTTCTGGATTCGGGCCAATAGAAAGCTCCATTGTCTCTGCTGTGCTCAGGTGGCAGCGTGGCTGGATACCTGGAAACGTGAGGGCCTGAAGGTGAGAACTGAGGGAACATAAATATGTAGATCAGCAGCCAATACCCGGAACTCGTAGCAGGCAAGTGTGTGGAGCTGAGCTGACAGCACAACGCTTGGGCCAGAGCAATCAATATTTGGAGAAATTTCTAGTGAGGGGTTTGTGTGCTCTGGGGGCACCTGGCCTGTCTATAATTTCATAAATGGACTATGATAATTTCATTAGTAGACTTTCAGGCATTTCTACAAACATACTGTGTATATATGTTTGGGTAATAGGTGTAGAGTGAGGTGCTTGCATTTTGATAGTAAATATGCACAAGGCTACTATTTTTTATTAGTTGATATTCACATTTACACATCAATTTGCAAATTCCTCATTCTATGCTTATTACCCATTCGACACATACACCCACATACACACATCACACACTTACATACACTGTCTAGTAACCAGACAAGCCTGCACATTAATACAAATCTGCAGGAAGTCCCACTTGGGCATTTTGAAATCTCTTGCTTTAAAAGTAGGCAGCATTGTCCTTTTGGGTGGAATACTTACCAAACCTAGGGAATTTTGGCTGCACATGATATATCACGTAGAAATGAGATAATTCCTACCAGTATTTTTATGCACTTGCATTTAAAAACTGTGAGTGATATTTATGTTTGGAGAAATCCAAGATGCTTAAGCTAGGACCACCTGAAGATTTGTTTTAATATGCAGTACTTTTAGATCGACTACAATATATATCGATAGATACACATAAAATGTACATGTGTAAGCAGCCATTCTCTGGGAGTGTGCACATGTACACAGACATGTGTATGCCTGATGTATATATACAGACAGTATGTTTAATAAAACCTTTTGCAATTTTACTTTAAACAGGCAACCATTAGAGTATGCAAGTTAAGGATCCTTTCATCTAGAATGCTTGATCTTCCAATTAATCCAGTAGCCAGACTTTCATTTGCCATGAATTAGCTACAATTCCACTGTGTGGAGATCAAGCCACTTTATTGAGACATAACACTCTTTTCTTTTTCCTCTCTCTTTGCATAGCTAACTTAGCATCTAAATGACAAAAATAAAAAAGGTACTAAAAGAGATTTCTCTAAGATGTTGTCTTTAAAGAAAATATTGTGCAAAATCCTTTAGCACCTCCTCCCTCCCCCGACAGAGGTCAAGGAGAAATTTGAGCTTAGAAATTATGTTTTCTTTTTGTTTGGTTTCTTCTGCTGTCTTGAAATGCATGGCAATATTTCTATCACCCAATCTCTTACTAGCTGGAGCACTGAAGAGGAACTAAAAATACAATATACTTAGTAAACATTTCATACAACAGAATTGAAGCTCATAACATAAAAAGAAATCGTCATGCAAAATGTTATGCAACAACAATGTTATTTTGTGCTGACATTGAGGTTTGAAAATGTTGCGTATGTCAGACATAGCTAGACAAAAATAAAAATGTGGACATTTGGAAATAAATGTTCTCTTTCCCAAAACCTGGTGTCGAACTTGAGAGCCCGAGCCTCAGCTTAGGATTCCAATCCAAAACAACATTTCAAGAAGGAAAATGAACGGAAAAGCAAACCAAACTAGGAAGCTGCCGAGTAAAGGAACGGGAGATGTTTCTGGTACTTGATTTTGGCCTCGTTCTGCCGTCGAGCCTCTGACATAAAACGCTGGTCTGCATTTGGGTGGGCAGAGGAGGGCCCGGAGGTGGCTGGGGAGCTGCTCAGGTGGGCGAAGACAGACCATCAAAAAAGTCAAGAGACAAAGTGACTTTCACAAAGAGGGACCAGCAGGATGACGAACTCCGAAAAGAACTACCAAACAAGCAAGAAGGATAAAACACAAATGGGGAGCCGCTGCCTTCTCGGCGTGACTGCCCCATTTACTGAACTGGACTCCGACCAGTGCCATCAGCACCACCCTATGGAGACACCGACTGGCTGAATACACAGACTGGGGTCTTTATCCAGAGGGACGCACGGGAATGATGGTGGCACCATCACTGACCAAAACGAGACACACTTTTGCACAGAACAGACGCCTGTATGGCAGACACTGCTTCCTCTCCGGTGAGCAGGAACGGGACCTGGTCAGGCATAGCTGGGAGACTGGCCTCTCACCCTTAATATGCTGCTTCACCTCCTGCGCTTCTACTTAAACCTCCCTGTGCTTCAGTTTCCTCATCTAGCATCCGGGAATTCTAGTGTCTTTTTTGGTGTGCCTTGCAGGGCTGCTGGTAAGAGCAAATGAAACAATGCATGGGCTAGATCTCTGCAAAGCCTAAGGTGCCTACCAGTGTTTATTGTTCCCTCCAATATTGTGCAAAGGCAGGAATTAATTGCCTTGCAAGAGCAGATGAAGGGCCGCTATTAGTTCAAGTGCGCTAGGGAATATTCTTGCTCCCTTTGTGGAATTTCAACATGTCAAAATCTGTCATTTGGGGTGGGGGGGGAGGGAATGTGTGGTATCTGATTGTTTCCAGCTCATTTAATTATTTTCAATTTGGAATTTTCATGGCTTTTATATTGTGGGCTGAATCATATATAAAAGCTTGCCAGCTTATCAAATATGTTACTTGCTATTCCAAATGTTAGAATGCCGTAATCAGCACTTGACCCATCTGTCTTGTGGTTTACAGTATCAGCACAGCAAACATGCTGGAACAATAGCCGCTCCTTCCACAGGCATCGGGCCCTCAGTTCCCCGCTCCCTCCCTTTGACAAGCGCCTCATTAACCTTGGACCTGCTGCTTCCCGATGGGTCCCGTTATAAAGCAGCCTGCGCGGCGAGAGGGGACATGCTCCATTGCCAAGTTTGCTTGAATTTTCTCCTGGGAAAATGATTTTTACTGCAGGCTTATAGGAAACTGTAATCCTAGTGACATTAATAAAAAATATCCGCAATATGAATAAATATACT